GGGTCATGGGGGCAGTGCTGCAGCCCGAGGCCGGTGCCCCGTGCTCACTTCTTGTGCGGCATCTTTTGGGGCAGTCCTGGGACAAGTCTTTGCGCATCATGGCCATGCAGGCCAGGAAGGTCACGTACTCTTGGAAATCCACCTCACTGTCACTGTTGCTGTCCAGGTGACCCCTGAGCTGCTGTAAGCTGGCCTCACTGGTTTGGCTCTGCCCAGGGGCAAGAGCGGGGTTAACACGGGGCTTTTGCATCAAGGGCCTCATCCCTGGGTCCCAGCATCGCCCGTGGGACGTGGCACCCCCTGCCCCACACTGAAGTTGAAGCTGGGCAGCTCCTTCATGAGCAGGTCCTTGAGCTCCACCTTGCTGAGCTTGCACTTGCCCCCACCCTTCCCCGAGTACTTGCGGAAGGTGGTGACCACCACTGCCAGCACCTGCTCCAGGGGACACGCCATGGGGGATGCCAGCAAGCCTGGACACCAACAGCACAAGCACATAAAAGCAAAGTTCAGCACCCCCAGATAACCCCGTGCCAGGAGGACGAGCCTCCCCCAGACCCCCCGAATGATGCGGACTGCTTCGGTGCTCCGGGCATACACCGGGATGCATTACAATTTCCTCCCTAATTTCACCCTCTCACTAGCAGCCAGGCTGGGTGTTGCCATCTGGTACAAGTGCTGAGCAGTCTCCAAAAAAGCCATGCCAGAGGGGACAAGGTGGGGGGAAGGCAGCAGCCCCCCCAGCCCCAGGTAGCTGCCCTGTCACCCAGCTATCGGCGACGTCTGGAGGGGCAGAATGGTGAGGGGGAACGGAGCATTGTATGAAAAAAGCAACTCACCAACAGCTCAAACGAAACAGCGAGGACGGGCAGGGCGGGAGGCGAGCTGGCATGAGGCCACAGCATTTATAGCCCTGCCTGGGACACTTCCCTCGCTATCCAGATGGGAAGGCACCAATGCTGATCCAGCACCTGGCTGGCAAAGGAGGAGAGGAAACCTTGGGATCAGCCCTGCTCCGCCTCAAAACTGTCCTGCTCCTGCACTGCCAAGGGGGCTGGTTTGGGTTAGAAAGAGCAAAATGTGCCTCTGGGGCTGGACGGGGACCACTGTGTCGAGGAGAATCCGTAGGGACAAGAGGTGAACCAGGGTAGTGGTGGGCACCTCGTCATGGTGCACGATGCCGTTTTGGGGCGAGATGCTGCACACAATGGTTCTGGCAGCATCCCCGGGGCTACCTGGAGCTGCACCAACCCGAGCAGGGTTTGTCCGTGGCCCTGTTGTTGTGCTGGGCTTTGGGTTTGGGCGAGGGTGGTGTTTTTTCTGTTTTTAACT